TCAATTAAAGAGATTTTGCGCTTGAATTTACTGTAGATTAAAATATTTCAAATAAATATCTATCACTGCCAAATTTTAATTCATTTAATCCTTCATTTAATTTATTTATTTCTTGGCGACTTTAAGTTTGAAATTACATTTAAACTTTACAGTAAATATATCAACTTTCAGCAATCTGTCTTGATTAGCTTAGACTGCTCTGGATTAAGCAAAATGGAAGTTAATTGTTAAATAAACTTTTTGTTAGCCTCGTCACTAATAAAAGGGTCTCCAATTCTCTAAACTAACTTTCACTATTTGCTTTCGGTAAAAGACTGACAGACAGACTTTAGTCATTCTGCGCATCAAAAACACGTCGAAAGTTGTCGCGAGTTTTTGAAACGCTGCAGAGAACAAATAGAGGAAGTTATAGCCTGATTTTAACTAGCAATGAAACTTGATTTTACTATTATGAACCTGAGTCTAAGCAAAAGTCGATGCAGTGGCGTAAAAAAGGCACGCCTAAGAAGTATAAGGTGTCTGCGACACAACAAAAAAAAAGAGCATGTATGCGTAGGTGTATGGATGTGAAGGAGGCAAGAGAGGTGTGTCAGGATCGTGCCAAATGGAAGTCTGTAGTCTCTGCCTACCCCTCTGGGTGACAGGCGTGAGTGTTAGTATGTATGTATGTACTGAAAAAATTGGTTGCCAACGTGTCTGCCAAACGTGAAAACAATTAAACTGTTTATACCTAGTAGAACAAGGCTACAACTATATTATCGCACGGGGTAGCTCGATCAGACAAGAACCACGCTCTCACAGAATACCAGCATAAAAAAGCAGTGTAATACTATTTCGTATGTTGAGTATAGAAAACCGGATCCCCTTTTTACTGCCGGCATTTTATCTTAGTTCTCAAGGGTAATAACGTATATGCATTTTGAATCTTAATTGAGGTAAATGTTAATTTCTATGGGCCACGCCATTCACTTACTATCACGTGCACTGTGTGCTCGTTTGTCAACCTTACTCTATAAAAAATTATGGCAAATATTTCCCTGATGTGGAAAGCCTATGTCCAGCAGAAGGCTTTTCAAAGGCTGCAATGTATTGATAAATTAACTATTTCAGTGATATACCAAAAACTATTTTCATAATCAACTTTGACATTATTAGTTGCTTCTAATTTATTCAGTAAATACACTAATAAATTATGTAAATCAGTGCGTGCGTGCGTGCTTGAATGAACGTAATTGTATTTATCTAACAGCGTTTCACATATTCATTAATTTTGGTGCCTCATGTCTCACTTATGTTACCTACACATACTCCTACCATTTAATTAATCATATACCTATATCATTGGCCTATAGTATTCTTTTGAGTCCTCTCAAGTAAATTTTTCTAAGGAATACATAAATATTCTTAGAAAAATTTACTTACGTCGCATGTGGCAGAGCTAACACTAACTGGCTTATAACTCCGAATACGTAGTGTTATTTTGTTTGTATAGAGTTCGTAGTTTATTTTGTTGTAAAAATTCAATTATATGAATGATATTTTAAGTAGTAAGTAGGTACTTCAAATTTTACTTTCAATTATGATCTGTGGTTGACAAGAAATTATCTAGAAATACAAATAAAAATATCTTTAATCCCTGAATTATTTATAATGGTATGACTGTAAACAAAATTGTTTACGAATTCAAACTCTATACGTTTATATTTTTTCATTGACAGACACAAAAAAGATATCGCCATTGTTCTTTGTATTTAATCGAGGATAGAGCATCTGTCTGAGCTTTTGTCGCTGTAAATATAACAGAACGCGAATAATCCGGGTTTGATCCCCGCCGGCACCAATGAAATTGTTAATTGCAATTTTAAGTGCTGATTTACCATGTGCTCGGCGGTGAAGGAAAACTTACATGTCTGAGGAATAAGAAAAAAAAATATTTCGAAGATATGTGAAACCCTCTCAGAAATGAGGGGAGGTCTGTGTCCAGTAGTGGGCCGTGTATAGGCTGTAACTTTACATTTTTTACTTTAGAGCATTTGTCTATGGCTATCTACGGAGAGATGGAGGCAGTCATTTATCATCTGGTGGATTATTGTCACCCTTAATAGTATAAATATTTAGGCAACTCAGAAAGTTTTGCGAAATTAAAAAGAAGTTCAATTGTTTCTTTATTATGAAATATATCAAGGAACTCTCCATCATCAACTATACAAAGTTTCATGCGTCTGAACAAATTTTCGAAACATTTATGAGAATACGCCTCAGCCACCTCTTCTACAGCGTATTTAAACGCTGGCGGCACATTTAAGGGCAGTGAAAACTGTATCCCTTTAGTTTAATTTTTTTATCTGAGCTGTAAGGAGGCTATAAATAGGCTCAATAGTATCGTGCTGTCCAGGAAATCCACTTTAGTAGTTGATACTACTTCGATTTCATAAGGGAATTAACACCAGATATACGATCAAAGTTAAAAACTTGCGATCAAAATATATTTCTCGATCGCTTCACTTTGGTACGCGTTGGTATATTTTGAAACAGTCATGTAGTGGCGGTGTAAGGATATCCAATAGCCTGTCGTAATCGTCGTTAGAGGGGACAGTGGTAAACTGAAAGAAGAGATGAGCAGAAGCAATATCCTAATAGCAGCTAGATACAAATTACGAACTGCTGTTGCCACCCAGCTTACCACGCATGGCAACTACCGCAAATGAATCAATCGCTGTAAAGCAAGCAATCTATTATGGAGGCCTATGTTCAGCGTTGGACTTTGGAAAGAATGTAATGGATAAAGTCGATAATTCACTGAAACGAACCTGCTTCAATTTTATTAATCATATCATGGCATCATTTTTAGCGAGCTTACGTCTGAGCATCGATGAGATCATTCGTCACCCACCACAAAACTATCCTTCTTACGCCAAGATGTTCGCGTAAAGTCATGTATCTTTCCGACTCAATTTACATTAGATATTGAATTTCTAGTATATAATACAAAGTTAACGGCGAATTATTTCGGCCGTGATACACTGTTCAAAAGTCACAAGCCTGCGGTACAGCCGGAATAACGCTCACTTCAAGTCATAAAATTGTACGAAATAAAAAGTATACAGAGCTATAAAAATCGTTTATTTTCAAACACAATGATCAAATAACAGCTTAAATATTAAACTAAGCGCGTACTTTACCAATGATGACCATTGTTAGAGAGTGGAATCTGTACTAGGCTACCCTACGTTTCAGTGCTTCCCCCCCCCCCCCACTCTGATATCTCGACAATTGAGTGTTTTTTTTATAGAAAAAGGGCGGGATAAACGAACATTCTGCTCACCAGATGGTAAGAGCCCAGTGCCACTAATGAACAACCGCAACACCAGGGGAATTGCAAGTACGTTTCCGCCCTTTAAAAAGAGTAAGCTCGTTTTTTGAAGTAATAAAATTTAAAAAAAATAGAAATTAAAAAAAATGTTATCAAACACTGTCTTATATTAAGAAAAAAAGTTTACATGGACCAAGCAGCTAGAGCGCCGCACTGTAACATTTTACGTCCTTTCGCCATTTATTGTTTTAATAGCGTTCTCTGCTCACATTTGTCCCTTGTCTTTGTTAGATTTAGGGTTCTGTTCGGCGTAAAACTTATTCAATTAAAATGTAATTATACCAAAATTTCCACTATCAACTTTTTTTATTTTTCCCTACAATTATAGCCTACCAAAATCGTCTGCTGAATATAGGACTCCCTTAGATTATATCTCGTAGGAGGAATTGTAGAATTGTTGCCACGCTGTGCAGACGGATTTGCAAGCGCAGTTTCTTTATAATTTTCAGCTGTTATCGGAAAGATCCTACCGTTCATCTCCTGTTTCAGTTTCCTTTTACTGCCTGTTGCAACTACCACGAGACGATATAATCCTAGTTATTGGGTATAAGAAAGTCATAAGTATTTTAATTATAAGTTTTGTGTTTAACTAAAGTGACAGCTGTAGGTAAATCTGATTTGTATTTTTTATCCCTTTAATATTTTAGATTTATCTTTTAAATTACAGTTTGTTTCAATTTGAATTTAATAGATCTCATAGATCCTATAACTTTAAACGAGCAATTCTCGTATATATATATAATCGGAATCTCGGAACCGGCTCCAACGATTTTCATAAAATTTAGTGTCCAGGGGGTTTCGGGGGCATTGAATCGATCTAGCTAAGATTCATTATTATAAAATGTCGTTTTGCCCGTGTTTTCACGCAATGAAAAACTGCTACAATATAAGAAGGTAAATTTTGACACTATATTAATGATCGTAATAGCTCAAGTGGATATCGGTCCGTCGCGAAACCGGAGTATCCTGGTTCGCGTCCTGTTTTCGGTCCGACTTTTTCCTTTTTTTAAGTTCCCTTCTTTTGTGAGAAAAGCTTTTTAGTATTTTTTTAAATACGAAAATTTAAATTAAACTAATTGCACTCATGATTTTTTATTCAAATAACAAGTTCAGTTTTTCTATTATGTCAATAAGATCAAAAAATATTATTCATGTTTAATCAGTATGTAATTTGTATATAAATATAATTTCCAAAACACATGATTTCCAAAAAAAAAAAATACCGAGGAAAACTCGGTCATCCAGGTACTGTACATTATTCCTTAATAGCCGCGTCCAGACCGGCTGAGCGCGGCTCGCGAGTCCCGCTCGCGAGCCAATAGTTCGGCCGGTGTGCAAGGCGCTCGGGCTTCCTCGGGCACACGTTGGCTCGGCCGAGCACCGCTCGACCCCGAGCCATGCGTTGTCGGTTTTTGCCGATGCTTAAAGGCGGCTCAGTCTGAGCTGCTCGCCCGGTGTGGACGGACGTAACGTCACTCGCGAACCAGTGGATTAAAAATGGATAGAGAAGACAGTATTTGCTTAATACAACTTTACGGAAGCTTCAAAATTTTATGGGATTGGGAAAGATCCAGATCATTTAAATAAAAGCAAGCGAGAAGATTGCTGGAGGAAGATCTCTAAGGAAATGAAGTTACCTATACCCGAGTTGAAAAAGAAACTTGACTCATTGACAGGTTCATACCGACGCGAAAAGTCAAAGCAGAGAAAAAGTAATATCACTGGTTCAGGTAAGAATTCTTTTATTTAATAATAGTGAATGTTAGATTAGTTAATTTCATTATCAAATATCAATATGTACAACATTTACTATAGGACACACCATAGGAAACGAAAAATAACCTATAACGTCTACATATTTGTTACAGGCGCTGACGAAATTTATATATCGAAGTGGTTTGGTTTCAAATATTTTGACTTTATGTCAAATAAAGATGACACAGGAATTACAAAAGAAGGCGGAATAGATATCGTAAGTCCTTTATTTATGTTTATTTTCAAAATTAGTTGAACATTAATATTTATGCTGCCATGGAATTATTCCGTTTGTTATAAAATATGTTGCTAAATGTAGACGAATATCTTTAGCACTAACGGTACCTCTGCGCGGAATGGCCGTTAGAGGTAATAGTGCTGTAGATGGAATATTGTTTCTCCATTGACCTAGAATAAATGAACCATCAACTTCTCTATCATAATATTCTGGTGGAATAGAATAGTTATTTCTTCGTAAGTAATTATATAAATACACTGTTACTAAGACAACTTTTGTAGCTTTTTCTGGCTATAGCAGGATTGGTTTCCTAAGGACTCTGTAGACTGAACTTAAAGTACCAAAGGCATTTTCAACGACTCTGCAAGCTCTGCTAAGTTTGTAATTAAACATTCTTTCTTTGGAACCCGCCTCTGGATTACCTTCAAATGGTTTCATAGTATATTTGGTAAGCATAAAAGCTTTGTCGCCCAATATGAAATATGGTATTTTCATTATGTACGGTATTTGTAGTATCTGCGCTTCAGGAATGTTCAGTTGACAGTTTTCTAATTTTCGATATAAAATAGTATTTGTAACTCTGCCGTCGGAAATACGCCCTTTACTTTCGACATTAACAAACAAGAATTTGTAATTAGCATCCACGAGCGCGAAGAGCACTATACTAGGATAATTCTTGTAGTTGTCGTAATCAGTACTTATATTGATGGGTCTTTGAAGAGTTACGTGTTCCCCGTCCATAGCCCCTATAACATGTGGGAAGTTCCATTTTATTTCAAATTCTTTTGATACTGCTAGCTATTCTTCTTCTGTGGACGGTGTCTGCAAATAACAAAATAAACATTATTTTTACAGAGCAATCTTTCTCAACAACTAGGACCATCACAACAACCTACGCCATCGCCACAACAACCCGAGCTATCCCCACAAGAACCCACGCCATCCCCACAAGAACCCACGTCATCCCCACAAGAACTTACGCCATCGCTACAAGAACCATCGCCATCGCCACAACAAACATTGCCATCTTCACAACCATCGCTAAAGCTAAAAAAAGACGGCTGAATACGAATGCACAAAATGATTCTCTTGACAATATATTGAAGGACACTTTTGCCATAATTGAGAAAAGTTCAACTTCTATAAATGATCCATGTGTAGCATTCGGTAATCATATTGCACATGAACTCAGAAAATACGATCCTTACACTCAAACATGTGTTAAAATGCTATTAATACTATTATTCACGAAGCGGACATGGGAAAATATCAGATATATAGACCAGGATATTTTACACAACCACCACGTCAACCATAACTTCCGGTGAAAATCTGCAGAACACACAATTTACTCCTGCTACAAAAACATTAGACTTTAATTTTGGTGGTTACTACAGAAACAGCAGACTTTAATTTTGGTGACAGCTCCGTTATTTAAATATGAGGCAGATAAATAAATAATTTGATTGCGTAATTACCATGATTTTTATTTATCTTAACGTAATTACTGAGGGCGTCTATAATTGCATCACACGTTTCTGGAACTATAGTTGATATAGATTATTTCGATACTCTAAAAAGATATTGAAGCCTGCTATAGGAGTCTCCTGTTGACAAATATCTCAATGTTAGCAGCACTCTTTCGGATACAGTTATTGCTTCTCTGTAGTTTGTGTTACATTTTTGTATTTTCACAAATATTCAATGTCTCCCGCAGACATGCGTGTAAAATTTGAGACTGAATGATCGATTGTTAGTTCCTTTAAAAAACTGTTACCGTATTGGTTTCGGTTTTGGTACAATTTTTGAATCCAGAGTTTTCGTTTCTGTTTTCTTTTTTTATGATATATCCAGACAACATAAGCGCAGTAGCAGCTAACAATACGTGGTTTTCCATCGTTATACGGAGAGAAACTGAATGCTCAAACCGGCTCACCTTGGCTTGCGAGCCCGGTTCGGAACTTTTCACAAATTAGTGATCGGGTGCCACAGCTCGCAAGCAGGAAGTCGAACTCGCGAGCCGCGCTCAGCCGGTCGGAATGAATAAAATTTGAAGTACAATATACTTAGAGTATTATTGACTAACCGAGGGTAAATTTTATTCTAAGACTAGCGAGCTTATTCGGGAATAGTTACCAGACTACTCTGAAACATAGAGAGAGAAAATAACAGAGTTACAGTCTACGCAGATACGACAACATTTTATCTGCTTATAAAACTTAACAATCTCAAAGTAGCAAACACTACGCAAATACAATAATACGAGTATACGAAATGATACATTCACTCGAAATCCTTCAAACATAATGGACGTATTTATTGGAACAAATTGTTTATACGTAGTGTCACCAACAATGAATTGGCGTATATTGTCATTATTACCTGCATAATGTGTGACACGTTTTATTCTAAGAATATTTTAATGGCATTGTATGTTTCTCCTCTGGTATAGGCCAGTAAAACCTTCAAGCTCATTTTGTCAGATATAATATTGTATTTTGCGTTTATCCTCACTCATTTTGTATTCAAGAAAACAACTAAACAAAACGGTATAAAGACTACCGGCCTTTACTATAATTGTTGATTGTTGCTAACTCAAATTAAGCATGAACTATTTCTATCCCTGTCTCTTTGTATTTCCATTTTGCAAAGAGAGAGAGAGAGAGAGAGAGAGAGTAATTTCACGTATTTATTAAGTTACGTAGATAAACCGGTATAAATTTTAAATGCTTAACATGCAAATAGTAATGATTTTTATGTTTACGCGTACACTGCACTAATTTAAACTAAGTTTTACGGATTTATTAGCGTATATTAATTTTTTTTAAATTTCTCACGTTTCGAGTGCTTTACAGCACCAAGGGTTACGAGAAGACTGAGATGTTCGACGTTCCAATGAAAATGGTATTCAAAAACTATGTCCAAATTTTTTTATGTAAAACATGTATTGGGTCGCCTTGGCAGTAAAATCAACACGTATGCCGTGACGGCAAACGGCATGATGCTCTCCTATGTCTATGACTTCCTGCCACCGCTCTCGACTTCCTTGTGTTTGCGTTCGCGTATAATACTATACACTACGTTTTTATTCGACTATAGTATAATACTGATGCGTTCACCGCTTGTATACACATTTTCTTTCTTTAGTTACTTTTTTTTGGAAGGACGTTGTTTTTTATTTATTTTACTCCATATTTCTATATTGCTTTCCATTATTTATAAATTTTTACACTTACTATTATGTTTCACATCTTCAGGGCATCCCGCGACGGGCTAAGTTAAAAAAAATGCGTAAGCCTCTATGAGCGGAACCCTCAACGAGGAAATACTATTTTTGCGGCGCTGCTTCTATCTCATTACAACGTTGCTGCAGTGGCCGTATGAATAAATTCCACGGAAGCTGGCGGGCCTTTGGTTCGTAGCGATCATTTCAGATTAAAATTTCATTACGTTTCTGGCGGAAAAACTTTGGGAGCTATTTCGTCTCCAAATAGAACGTCCTCGGAAAACAAATGTGTTTTATAATTAAATTATAACTTGAGCAAGTACAATTTTTATTTACAAAGAATGCCTATTTTGGTAAAGACAGCATATCCTGTTAAATAATAACAATACTACCAATAACATTCTGAAAAATAATGTTTATTGTTAAATTATCTACAGAAAAAGTTTGAAAACAGTGATCAAAAATACGCGTGGGTGATATTACGGTTCTAAATACCATTGATTAAATGTTTGAAATGGATTTAATTAATGTTTGGAGTGACGACCTGGTAAGACATGCAGGAAACCGACGGACGCAGGAGCTCAAGACTGTGCTTTGTGGCATTCCTTGGGGGAGGCCTGGTCAGCAGTGGACAGGTAGGTGAAGTGTTGTAATGATGATGATAATGATAAAATGTTCTAAATCCATATACTTATACCTATTTCATTTGCATGCTACTTATGAATCCATATCCAATAGCTAATCACAAGCGATATTCATCTCTAGCCGAGCCTGGCTAGTTATTAAATATACCATTAAAGATATAATTTTCTTCTTCATCATCCAGTACATTTAATCGACCAGCATATCTGCATAGCTTTATAATAGATATAAAAGAAGTGAATACAAGTGGGTGAGGAGGCCTACACCTCGTATACCCAGGTGAGTGTTTTTACATTATTTACTAAAACCTCTTTTTTAAATAATTGAGCACAACGTTTTAACATTTTAAGAAAATATTTTTACAACACGAAAACCACGCGGATTTATCTGTGTTGTACAGGCGTCATATTCATCTCTACAATCTATAAGTATGTTATAATGGAGTAAATAATACCAATAATATCTTTCAGACCGAATTTCTATCACAGCGGCTAATCTCAAATGAGAATAACTATCTGCGCAGGATAGAATTATAGTGCCCGAGCACAGGTGCCCTGTCTATTCCCTCACTCACATAGTCCTATGGGAAGGCGATCCAACACAACCGGAGATACTCGTAAGTGGGGCGCAGGACGGACAGCTTAACGTGCTTTAAACCTAGTTAGACGTGATAAAGTTCTATGGACAACAATATATAATACACGCAAAAGGTAATAAAACCACACGCTTACGAATGTATTAGTTAATTACTTCAATTGCTAAATAGCGTTTTATCCTTTTTTTTTTCAAAGAATACGGGTGAAAAACTAGTACACAGTTCGCCCAATCGTAAGCGGATACTATGGTCCAAAGACGTCTACGTCTGTAATTTATTAAAAACTAAAATTCAGATACTTTGTCACTGTCACAGTTGTTGTTGAGGAGATGTAATACCTCGTTTCCAGTAAAAAGGGTCTCCGAATCTCTACACTCACCGTACGAAACACAGCAGCATTTACACTATGGTATTCTGTGAGAGCGTGGGCTTCACCGATCTATCCAACCCATTCGTTGCAGCCTGGCTCTATCGCGTAAAAAAGCAATTTTCATAGTAAAGTAGTTCTTCTCGTACGGTGATAAATAATGAAAAGTCAAAAAGATATTTTTCAGCAATGCGAATATAAAGGAATTTATTAAATTTATAAGTGCAGCGCGTTCATAAAACTTACATGCAAAGCTCTCACCTCGCCTCGCTGCAAGTTCCATATTCCATTGTTTCCGAAAGTGGAATTAACGGGAGTTAAATTTTTACAAAGAATGCTTATAATTCTCTGTCAAACAAAAGAACGAGATTTATAATACATTTCGGGAAAAATTTATTTGAAACGATAAAACTTAGTGAAATGAACATTCAAAAGTCAAAGATTTTAAAGTTAATGTTATTAAACTAATAAAATATTATTATAATATGTATAAATATATACAACAACTGAATTACCTTAATCATTATATTAAAATTTCTTTAAAAATATTCTTCAAACAAAAATTCAATGCTCACCTGTTAAATAATACTTATAAAAATCTAATAATTTATTAAAAACAAGAAAAAATAAACCCTCTCATAATCTCATTTATACAACATGGCCGAACTGTAATTTTAATGGTGATGCCACCTTGATTTTATACGCGCTTAAAATAAAATTTGGAGTAAATTAATAAATATGAAAAAGGTACCATATGCATTTCACAAGAGACACGATTTACGGCTTTAGTGTATTTTATTTCACTTTGAGTTGAAACAAACTTTCGAGTATACCTTTTACTTGTGTGAGACAGGGGCATAATTAGATAAAAATAAGTATATTATAATATTACATTTCTTCGAATCCTGATTTTTTAAATATGACTTGATCATCGGCGTGCAAAAGGCGTCAAATGGCTTTTGTATGCCCGTGATCAAGTCTGATTTGCGTCGTCAGCGACCGAATTACAAATGACAATTACAATAATAAACAGGTCATTAAAAGTAAGAGGAATGAAAGTGAACACAAGTAAAATAAAAATGATGGTTTTTGAAAAAGAAGAAAGTAAAGCGATATGTGCAATAAGAATAGAAAGGAAAGAAGCAAGTGGGTGAGTTTGTGAATTTGGGATGTGTATTTAGCAAGGACGTTAGATATTATGATAAAAATCGAGTAAACGCGAGAAATAGAGTAAG